AATCAATAAACATGTATTAAGTGCCAGCTATGTGCTAGGTACTGTGTTAAGTGCTGGGGACACAAAAAAAAGGCAAAAGACAATCCCTGCCCTCAAAGAACTCACAATCTAATGGGGGAGACAGCATATAAACAAATATATACAAGGCAAAGCAAGAATAAATAGGAAATAATTAGCAGAGGGAAGGCACTAGAATTAAGAGGGGCTGGGAAAGGTTTCTTGTAGAAGGAGGGGTTTTAGTTGGGATTTAAAGGGAGCCAGGGAGGTCAATAGTCAGAGCAAAGGAGGAACAGTGTTCTAGGCATGGGGGACAGCCAGAGAAAAATGCCCAGATAGGTATTAATACATTGTTCCTTTTGGGGGTCCCTGAGAGAGATGTGCTGTGCTTCCAGTCTAAAAGCTCACACTGGTCCCTGAGCAAAGGAACAGAGATGTCTGTGACCTATTCACTGAGAGTAGGCCTAGGACTGGGAACAGACTTAGGGTCACAGAAAAGACTTTCTCTGGGAAGTCAACTCCCTATCACACTGAGCCCCAGAGAACTCCATGGCCTTGGTTTCTGCCAGGGCCATTTTCTCTTGTGACATTCATGAAACAAGTCTCAAAAGACTTCCTAGCAGTCTGTAGGCCACTCAATTCCCATGATCCAAATCTTCTACCCAAGTCTCATTTGCTCTCAAAATAATAATTACAATACACATTTGTATCAGGTCTGAAATAGGATTTTCCCTTGAAGGTTCCTCCACATTTTGCAATAATCACTAAGACAAATTAAGAAGTAATTAGGTGATATAATTTTGCATCTTCTCTTTATTCTTTTGGGTAAGGAATGACTGTCTGGGAGAAGGAGTTCAACACAATTTAGATAATGTAAAATGAGAGATATCAGTAAAATTCACTTTTAAAATGTTAGACACATTTTAAAAGGCATTTTCCAAATATATTAGTGTTCATTTTCTCATTCTGAAAGTATTTATATAGACTGGTAGCTCATAAGTGTTGTTGTTTTTTTTTTTTTTTTGAGGCAATTGGGGTTAAGTGACTTGCTTAGGGTCATACAGAAAGTGTTTAAGGTCAAATTTGAACTCAGGTCCTCCTGACTCCAGGCTGGTGCTAATAAGTGTTTTAAATAAGTTCTTCCAATTGAACTTTGATTTCAGGATGCCAATGGGCTTCAATATGTAGTCACAGTTTTCTCTTTGGTAATTCTAGGTTCAATGCATCTTGCCTAAAAAAGACCATAGGATTATTCTCATCTCATTCTTCTAATGTTCTTTAGTAGTTAGAAGTAGCCTAGGAATGAATCAATATTCCGCTATTCATCTTCTATATTTTAGTGTCCTGTGGAATATTATGCAGATAGATACAATGATTGCTTTCTATAATACCATAATTTTGTAATTGATAATAATCTCATTTTTTCTGCCTTTTTGATGGTTAACTGAGAAAATATTCTAGGACAAGTCACCATTCTTGTTTCTTTATATTTGAAATCTTCAGGTTATTGCACATGTGGATAAAATGAGTATTTTAAAATTCAATAAAAGTATCAATGTAAACTCATCTTTCCTAAGCTCAATGAAAGCATCTTGGGGACAATTCTTGCAGCAGTTAGAACAATAGGGGTGATATGTACTCCATCTGCCTCCCACGTGGATTTGATTTTTTTTCTGCTAGGACTCTATATTTAGAACCTTTTTATTCCACAGACTTTGTAGGCTGTGACCATTTGGTATGGCAACACGTATTAAAAACATTGATATCAAATTTTAATGGTCCAATGTTATGCCTGGGTGATTGCAGGCAACAGTTCTGTCTGTGATGATTCTCTGGCCTCAGTAGAGTTTAGATGTTGGGTTCTGAAGGGTATTTTGAGATGTATATAAATAGACATGGATTTGTCTTCTGTTAGTTTATGAAAGGAAGCTCTCCTTGATACATAAGTCTAGTCAGCAGGTTGTGTCTTACTAGGTATTTATAATTTGTAGATGCTAAATTGGTACCAAGAATTATGATAGGGTGTTGTCTTTTGTACTCAAAATGGATCAAGCTGCCATCACTACGTCAGGGTCAAGGCACAGTATGTCTGATTGGCTGATCAGACCAATATGACCTTGGAAGGTTCTACCACAGATTGGGCACAAATAATCTGTATGAACATTTGGAATAGAAATGTCTCTTAATGTGTGCATCTGAGCTACTGCAGTTCTGCTTTGCTCATAGAGGACAATGCCTTCTTTGATGTGGGCATGATAGATGGTCCTGTGCCAGCATCTCCCATGTCTCACAATTGAAACCACAGTTCTTCAGAGAGACCTTAAGAATGTCCTTGTATCTCTTCTTCTGACCACTACGTGTACACCTTCCTTGTGTGAGTTCTCTGTAAAACAGTATTTTAGATAAATGTATATTTGGTGCATTTGGTATTCAAACAACCTGGCCAGCCCATTGGAGTTGCACTCTCTGCAGTAGAGTTTGAATGCTTGGCAATTCAGGTAGAGAAAGTCCTCAGTGTCTGGTACCTTATCTTGCCAAGTGATCTTCAGAATCTTCATAAGGCAATTCAAATTGAAGTGATTCAGTTTCCTGGCATGGTGCTGGTAGACCGTCCAGGTTTCACAGACATACAACAATAAGGTCAGCACAACAGCTCTGTAGACCTTCAGTTTGGTAGTGAGTCTAATACCTCTTCTCTCTCACACTATCCTTTGGAGTTTCCAAACTAGCTTTGGCAATGTGTGCAACAATCTCATCATCTATGTGTACCTCACTAGAAAATATGCTGCCAAAGTAAGTGAACTTATCCACAACATTCAAAATATCTCCATTTACTGTAATTGATGGTTCCATGTATGGATAATGTGGTGCTGGCTGTTTTGTGTGTGTGTTAATTGTCAGGTCAAAATTATCACAAGCTGCAGAGAATTGATTAGTATTCTATTGCATCTCAGCCTCAGGGGCTGCATTGAGTGCACAACCATCTGCAAACAAAAAGTTTTACACAAACTGTACCTCCATTTTTGTCTTGGCTTGTAGCTTTTTAAGTTAAATAATTTACCATCACTATGGTAGCTGGCCTTGATGCTATTTTCATCCTCATTGAAAACGTCCAACAACATCACTGAAGATATCATGCTAAAAAGCATGGGAGCAAGCACACAGCCTTGCTTTACTCCATTGGTGACTGGGAAAGTGTGAGAGCATCATCCATTATCCAGAATCTGTACAAGCATGATGTCATGGAACTGGTATACAATACTGGCAAACCCTGGGCAACCAAACTTTGCTGAGATCTCCTATAAGCCCACATAACTGACAGTATCAAAGGCCTTGGTCAGATCAACAAACATTGTGTGCAGACCTCAGTTCTGCTCCTGGCATTTGTCCAGTGGTAGGAAGAACAAACAACAAACACCATAGCAACCATTCCTCAGCTGATCCTGGCTTGCAGGTAGATGACCATCTTCCAAGTGAAGGATCAGCCTATTAAGGATGACTCTGGCAAGAATCTGCTGGCAATGACTAAGAGACAGACTTCCCTGTGATTGTCAAAGGGCAACCTATTTCCTTGTACTTTCTAGAGATGGACTTAGAGGCATCCTTGAACTTTTGGGGGAATAACCTTCTCTTGCCATATAAACCAGAAGACCTCAGTTAGCTTTTGAATGGGCAGTAGACCCTCTGCCTTGTAAATCGAAGCTGGAATAGAATCAGCACAAGCACTTCTCCACATGAGGGGAGCCTGATGGCATTCAAAGCCTCTCCTTCAGTTGAAACTTCAGTTAGACAAGAATTGACTTGAGATACTTAGACAACAGAATCAGCATTGGTTGATGATAGTCTGCTGAGAACATAATGCAAATGTTTAGCCCATCTCTCCAGGATTATGTCCTTCTCATTAAATGTGGCTCCATCAGCACCAACTAATTGAGACACATGTAGGTCTTTGGCCATAAATACCTTTCAGGACATCATAAAAGTGCTTTAGATGGTTACTATTAGCATAAAATTGAATTTCATCTGCCTTCTTATAGAAGCAAGAATCCTGCATTTCTCTAACCTTCATTTCTTTATTTTTGATGGAGTTAAACACTGCCTTCTTAGAGACCGATGAACTATCCTGCTGGCAAACCCTGTGGAGTTCTCATTTTTCATTTAGTATTTTCTGAATTTCCCCATCATTTTCATCAAGGCAATCCTGATATTTGTGAGTGTTCTGGATGAGATATAAATACAAAAGAAAGGTAGTCCCTGCTTTCAAAAAGCTCACAGTTTAACTGGGGGAGATAATATATAAAGACAAGTTCCCCCTTGAGGAAAGTAGAAGAGCCCCCAAATCCTAAGGGACTTTGGTAGGAGAAATGACAAGGATGTGAGGTCCTGAGAATATGTGGTTAGATCAGCTGACTCTATTGAAGATATGGAGAATAAAACAGCAGGCTAGACTTTAGGACCCTGTAATTTTCTGAAAGCATCCTAGGTGGTCACTTCTAGGTCATCCAACTCATGTGAACAGCTTTGTCCATTCCTCTGGACAGAGGGAGTGGAAGGGTACAGCTCACCATCATTGTGAAGTAAGGCACTGAATTATAGTTTTGTAATCATTCCTACTGGGAAGGGGCTTGGGGGAGGAAATGGTAGTGTTGAGGCAGGAGGGAGGAATGATAAAGGAGCATTGACATACAAATTGGGTGAAAGAGCCACTCCATGATATTTGATTCATCTGGGTTTCCAGTCCCTGGATGGGGCCTGGTTAGCACCTGTTCCTATTCAAGTACAAGATGAGGTCTGGATGGCCTGGGAATGAGGAGGCAGGAAATGAAACAACCTTGTTGTTTGTTTAAGACTAGCTGGGAACAGGGCCCTGCCAGATGTCATGTACCACACCCACATGAATGGATTGTCTGAGATTGTCTCAGTGATGGCTGAGATTGTCTACTATAGTAAGCCAATGGTGAAGAGACCTAGCAGGACCAACACCGACAACAAAAAGCAGCATAATGACAATATGGAATGACATCAGCAGCTGTGCAGAACTGGCTCTCCCCGTGTATGCCCCAGACACAAGCATCCTCTGCATGGTTGCGCTCCACCCTTGGCCATACATGTTCACTACATGTGAGCTACTTTGTGAGTAGGATGGCAAGTTTGGTATAAATCAGCATCATGTGGTGGAAGTCTGCAACTGAAATGGGATCATGGGCAACTTTAGGGCAGGCCTGGCTTCTCAGATTATTATATTGGAATATTGGAATATTGTATTGAGTTATGGGTGCTGTGATTTAAGAAAGACACTGACATTTAATAAAGGCACTCTCTAGACTGAGATAATCTAGAATGGGATAGCCATCATGGTGAGGTGCCTTAACTCCATGGCATATGACATGATCTGAAGAAGCTGGGAAGGTTTATCCTGGAGAAGACTCCAGGTTGACATGGCAGTTGTCTTTAAGTATCTTCTCTGCTTGGCCTCAGGGGAAAGAGCCAGAGTAATGGGGAGAAATTGTAAAGAGGCAGACTTCCTCTTGTTGTAGGGTAGGATTCCCCAATGTTTAGAGCTGTCCAAATGCTGAATGAGCTGCCTGGAGAGGTAAGGGCTTCTCCCTCCTTTGATGTCTTTGAGTAAAGCCTAGATGACCACTTATCAGATATGTAACAGGGGATTCCTTTGTGGTGTGAGTTTGACTTGGCTGCATTTTTCCAATTTTGTCATTCTCTATGAGTACTCAGCCATATCTTCGTATATGTTAGCCCCTTCACTGATATTTCCTAGGCATTTCCTTTGCTGCAACTTATATTGTACATTTTTGTGAGAAAAGGCATCCCAGGTTTATGGTGTGAAAGGGAAGGGGAATTTGTTACTACTTTTCTTGCTATACTATTTCATTAAGTATTTTAAACAATGTCCTCTAACTAGCAAAAAGTAAATGTATCAGACAAACCCCCTTGTCATTCCTTTCACAAGATGTTCTATCTCGAGACCCTGGGCGTTTTCAGTGACTCTCCTGAATTCTTCAGATCTCTCTACCTCTGGACTTCCTTCAGGTCCCAGCTAAAATCCCACCTTCTACAGGGAACCTTTCCTAATTCACTCAATCAATCCCAGTGCCTCCCCTCTGTTGGTTATCTCCATCTTATCCTGTACATGGCTGGTTTGCACATATTTGATTTCATGTTTTCTGCCACAGTAGACTGTGAGCTCCTTGAAAGCAGTAGCTCTCTTTTATCTTTCTTTGTATCCCTGTGGCTTAGCACAGTGCCTGATACATAATGAGAGCATAATAAGTGCTTATTGACTAACTGATTGAGACTGGGCTTATCAGTGAAGAGACTAAGTGAATTCTGATGAGGGAACTGAGGCTGAGAGGTTAAGTGACGTGCCCAGGGCCACAGGACTATTAAGTGTGTGAGGTTGGATTTGAATTCAGGTCTTCCTGGCTCCAAGTCACTATGTCTCTTTTCATTATGCTCTGAAACTGCCACAGATATAGACTTTAAAGGTTCTTTGTAGTCATTGAGCACTATCATAGATGATGAAATTAGGCCCAGATTGGTTAATTGGTTTTTCCAAGATCACTTAACACACAGTTAATAAGTTACAAAGCCAGAATTTGAAATCTAGGTCCTTTAATACAAATCCAACACTTTCTCCTGCTTTGCCACACTCTCACTAAAGACATGTTTGAGCATTGTGAACTCTTTGCTGGTAAAAGGAGATTGTAACACTACTCTGTCCTTTATTTTAACAATGAAAAGTCTTTTCTGTATTGTCAGGGTAAGAGCCAGAGAGGTAAGAGATCACTCAAAGAGTATCAAAGTATTTTGTCATGTAAGAGCCTCTGACATGCAGGCTATACCAGGAGCTTAGGACAGCTTAGGCTACCAACTGTTCCTTTCCTCACCATCACTGTCTCACAGACCTTCCTTGGTATCCTCACATGTTCCATAATGTTTTCTTTCTGAGTCAGATTTATTACTTTTGTTTTCCTTTTTATTATAGTGAAATGAGAAGAGTTCACTGTCTCTTTCCTCTCTATAATACTTACTTTGGAGAGTTCATCCCCTGAATTTTGAATAGCATTTGGTCTCAGATGATCTATATAAAGTTATGGAAGAGAAAGAAAAGAAATAAGGAAAATTGGATTAATTTCACCACACTTTAATTAAGTGCCTATCACATGTAAGTCACATGGCAGGTGCAGATTGTCCTAATTACCATGAACTAACTGGAATATATGTTTTTCTTCCAGGAAAAATATGATGCAGAAGTCTTCTATGAGATGATTCTTCATGGTAAACAAATGGTGCTTCACCTGAAAAGGACAGAGTGAGTGGCATAATATTTGAGATTATAAAAACACTTACATGGAATTATCCAAATTTTGCTTAATGTCTCTCTGGCAAACAAATATCCCAAATCTTCCTTTCTATTAGGAAAATTTTCTTTGTAGTTGATTCAGAGATTTGTAGAATCTCACATTACCAAGTTATCTAGTCTGAACTGTATCTGGCCAATCTTATGCCGTATATCAGACCAAGCTGTACTTGAAAACCTCAGCAGTTGTAGGGGCCAGGGGTACTCTCTAGATCCTACAGCAGCCAATTCTGTTTCTGGAGTGTTCTAATTAATAGAAAGGTTTTCCTGTCATCAAGAGTCCATTTCCATCTTTGCAATTCCCACTTTCTCCCCTACTGTTCACCATTGCTTTTACTTCTTCCTTTTAAGGCAAATTAATCAATCAAAAAACATTTCATAGGATTAGAGATCATAAAGTTGTTGATCCAGGGCTAGAAGGGGCCTTAGAGACCACTGAGTTCAATCTACACTGGAGGTGCAGAGGACTTCGTTGACTAGCCAAGGTCACACAGCTAAGGTAGGATTTAGAACTAGGTCCTTCTGACTACAAGTCCAGTACTCCATCTATCCCGCATGCTATGAGGCCCTTTTAAGTACCTACTACATGGCATTGAAGATACAAAGAAAAAAAATAATGTTCCTTCCCTTAAGCAGCTTACATTCATTCAACTGGGAGAAATGACATGTACATATAGAAATAAATAGAATATATACAAAGTGATGGGAAGCCCACTGGAATCTAGGTGAATCTGGAAGGGTGTTAAATAGGAAGTGACTCTAGAGCTAAGCTTTGAAGGGATCTAGGGATTCTGAAAGGCTGAGGAGAGGAACACATTCCAGACACGGGGGAAAACCTACACAAAGACAAAAGGAGTGATTGAATGTTGTAAATGATGAATAGAACAGTTTGACTAAAATCTAGAATCAGTGGCAAGTGGTAATGTGTAATATGCCTAGCAAGGCAAGCCAAAACCAAGGTATGAAGGGTTTCAGATGTTGATCAGAGAGATTTGGTTTTGACTCTAAAAGCAAAAGGGAGGCATTGCAGCTTTTTGAGCAGGGGAGTGACACAGTCAAACCCGTGCTTTATAGATATCACCTCCGCAGCTGTGTGGAGAATGGATCTGCAAGGGAAGAGCTGACGAGGAGGAGAGAATCACATGGCTTACACCACACATTCTAGAAGACACACAGATAAGAACAAGGCAACATCTTACACAGAAAACACACTTGAGAGGTGAAGAACAAAGTTCTAGGTTAGGTTCAGATCAAAAGGGAAAAGGGTCTCTATTGATGGGTAGCCAGGAAGACTTCACAGAGGAGGTATTTCTGTCAGGCCTTAAATAACAGACAGGCATTTAAAAGCAAAAGGGGAAAGGAGGATATTCCCAAAGGTAGAATCAGACAGTATCATAGATCTATATCTGGAATAGACTTTGGGTCTATTTGTCATCATTTTAAAGGTAAGGAAACTGAGGCTTAGGGAGTTAAATTACTTACAAGTGTCCAAGGCAGGGTTTGAACCCATCTCCCTGACTCCAAGTCTAGTGTATAAGTAAAGGAATGGAGACAAGAGAATGCAATTTATGTTCCCAGAAAGCAGCCTAGTTTAGCTGGAACCTAGGGAATGAGAGAGGGAGAGAGAGGGAAAGAGAGAGAGAGAGAGAGAGAGAGAGAGAGAGAGAGAGAGAGAGAGAGAGAGAGAGAGAGAGAGAGAGAAAGAGAGAGAAATAGGAGATTAGCCACAAAAGATAGTGTGTCCACACACCCCAAACTGAACTCATCCTCTTAATAATAGGTAACATTTACATAGGGACTACTATATGCCAGGCACTATGCCAAACACTTTATAACTATCTAATTTGAGTCTCACAACAACCCTGGGAGGTAGGTGTTACTATGATGCCCATTTTATAGATGAGGAAACTAAAGCAAATAGAGCAAATAGAGGTTAAGTGACTTGCCCAAAGTCACACAGGTAGCAAGCCTCTGGATTTGAACTCATGTCTTCCTGACTTTGGGTCCAGTGTTCTATCTACTGTGTCACGTGGCTGCTGACCTTCTTTCCATAATCTTGTCCCCTTCCCTCCCTTCCAATCTTCCCGCTTTTTGTTGTAGGCACCACCATCCTCCCAGGCATGCAAACGCAAAACCTCAATGGGTATCCCTTATCTCCCATTTCCAAACCATTGCTATATCCTGTCAATATTTCCCCTTCCACATCCCTTTTATCTGTCCCTTCTTTTCCACTCCCATGATCATCAGCCCAGCGTGAGCTCTTGAAACATTCTATCAATTGAATTACTCTAATTGTCTCCCAATACCAGGAGGTTTCTTTCCTAGTTCTACTGGAATGGAATGTTCTCCAGACACTTACATTACCCTCTCACACGTTACAAATTAGGCCCTTCCACTGGATCAAATTCAGGCATTATTATCCCCATTTTACAGATTAGTTAATTGAGGTTCCAAGATGATGTCACCTAACCATCAGATTACAGGCCACTCAGTCAATCAATTAAACTTTCATCTCTTGAGAAGATTAGTCTACTTAAACTGCTCTTAAAACATGAGTTTCAGCATCCTCTCTGATGGGAAGAAAAAGGACTTCACAAAGTATTGAGAATAATTGGGGAGATACTCCCATGGAAGCCTTTCTTGTTGGCATTATAACAAGGATTAACTATCTTTTTGTTCTCTTTCCAGGGACCTTGTATCCCCAAACTACAGTGAAACACATTACTCCCAAGGAGGGGAGGAGATCACCACGAATCCTCAGTTAATGGTAGGAGACACAGTGTGGGGGTAGTGTGTGTTATATTGGACCTGGTGGATTTGAATCTCACCTCTGATATTGGCCAGTTTTGTTACTTTTGGTCATGTCATGGGTGAAATTCAACAAAGGTAGACTGAGGCAATTTACTCCAAGCAATATAATAGTTTATTAACAGAGCACAAACCTGTTAATAAGGCAGGTTGATGGCTGCCTCCATTTTAAGACAAAGAATTGTAGCTGCACCTCATTTTTATACATACAGAACAAAGAACAGAACAGGATAGGTGAGGAAATAATGCAGTTTAAGGTTGGCAATATCATGTACGTGAGGGCCTCAGGATTGGTTACTTTAAAGGAAAGCATTTACACTCCCAAGACCCTCTCTGTCTTAGAGGAATGCTTTATGGATTTAGGGGACCCAGCTGCATTCTCAGAGTACTCTGGTGCCTGAGAATGAAATAAGGCCACCTTTAATCATTTAAGGACAGAGACCAGGTCAGCTTGTATGCTCTCAAGCATAACATACTAATGTCACAGAATTTCTCAGGACATAAAGTTATGAGGGATAACAAATTTCCTGGGCACAAAGTGATTTTCAGGTGGTGCTCAGACAATAATTCCCTTTGAATTAAAATGTTCTCTGAGACTGTTGAACCTCTAAACCTAACTCAGAATTTTTCTTTAATTAAAACTCATCAATAGGGAGAATAAACTTTGGTATCTAACTGTGAAAGAGGAAGACAACTTTTGAACTCATGAGCTTCTTTACTCAGGGACAAAGAAAAGACTTGGGATTTTATATAAAATACAGAATAAGGTTACACAATAGAATCAATTGTGAAATGGAATCACATATAAGATACAGAATCAATATTTGGTTTTCTCAGGCAAGAAAATTATCTTAACAAACTTTTAATTTCTGCATCAGAAAAGGGTAGGGCATAATAACTGTACTGCTTATTTCAGTTAGGCACCAAAATTTTATTAATTGCCTAATGAGTGCCATTGTGCTAAATGCCTAGAATATGACGAAAAAGATCGTTGCTCTCAAGGACCTTCTATTCTATTGAGTTTTTATGTGACAAATTCTTTGTAATATTCAAAGTTAGAAAAATGTGCAGAGTTAATAATTATAGAAACATGCTTGGTTAATAATATTAGGGTAGCAAAAAAGGTTTCAACTCATTCTCCTGTGAAATCATCAGTCCCTAATTCCATCTTTAGGTTCCTTCCTCTGAACACAAATGTTTTATCTAGACCAGGGGAGGGGAACCTGAGGCCTCAAGGTCACATGTGAAGTTTAGATACAGTCAACAGGCCACACTTGAGGACCTAGAGGACTACATGTGACCCCACCCTATACAACCACCCCAAATGACCAAATTCCACTGCTGGTTCTCATCTCTAAAAAAAAGATTTTGGAGTGGATGCTCCAGGGACGCAGCCCTGGCATAGGGGAAAGAACGCTGACACTGGAGTCACTGGACCCAGGTGCAATCTTTCTGCCTCTGATGCTGATTACTTGTGTGATCTTGGCCAAGTCATTTAACTTAACTAGGTCTCAGTTTCCTCATCTGTAAAATGAAGGGATTGGACAATTTGACTTTTAAAAATTTCTTATAAACTGAAATCTACGATCCTGTGAAATTGCAATCACAAACAGAAAGTTAATTAAGAATCCAAGGCTGGTTTATGCTATGTATAAAATGAGCAGGTATTTGTTACTATCATTGTTATTGAGTAAAGTTAAGTTGAAATGTGGCCAAAAAAATTGTATATAATATTATGATATTTCTCCACCTCTCTCTCTCTCTCTCTCCCTCCCTCTATCATCTTCGGTAGGATCATTGTTATTACCAAGGACATATTCTTCATGAAAAGGACTCTGCTGCTAGCATTAGTACCTGTGACGGCTTGAGGTAAGAACCAGATCTTCAATACTCCCTCTGGTGACTAAGCATAATTGAAGAAATAGTGAATCTGACTTCTGATGAACCTGAGTGTGTTCAATATCCAATTAGAATAGACTACCTTGAATTGTGGGGGTGGGATAGTTCTGTTCTCTTTTGTGATTTGTAGAAATACAGATATTTCAGGAAGAAAAATCAATAAATTGACATGTCATTCCTTGGCACCACACCAGCACTGTAGGAATGATTCATGGGCCTCCTTTATTCATCAGTCTGTGAAAGTGAAAGGTTGATGCTGTAGAGATAATGAGCATGGCCTGGCTTTGTAAAACTTGAGAAAATAAAGTTCAAAGGGAAAAAATGTTTTTCAGCAAGAGGTTGATCATCAGAGCTAGAAGGGATATGAAAGTTTTATAAGGAAACCTAGATCCAAAAAAGGGAAGTGACTCACCCAAGAAACCATGATGAGTAGAGGCTTAGCTGGAACTTGGAGCCAATGCTTCTGACTCCCTGTCCAGTGCTCTTTCCATTATACATATTACCTCTCCGCTCCTTATTAAAGGGCACACTGAATTAAACTATCAAGTATCTTTGCCTTTGGGGAAGGAAAACAAATCATCTGGGCCCCACACTTACACATGACTTTAAGGTCTCATCATACAGAACCAAGGTATCAGGTGGTGCTATTGTGATTTTGAGAGGAAAGAAGGTGCTCAAAGAGATGGCAAGAGAGGAATGTGATATGATGAAAAGATTCTACTATCTAGTTACCTGTGTGACCTTCAGGAAGTTATTTAGCCACTCCGAGCCTCAGTTTCCTCATTTGTAAAGTGAGAGGGTTAGATGGCATGATCTGCCAAACAAATTCTTTCTAGCTCTAAATTTATGTTCCTATGAATGGTAGGAAGTTAGAGTTGGCCATTTGGGATTTCATTTTGTCCTTCTATGGTCACTCCATGTTGTGCCCAGAGAAAAGATAGAATTAGGGGTGGCAGTCAGGCTTCTGCCATTGAGCCCTCAGAAAGAACTGTTTCTTAGCATCCTGACTTGGCTGGGAGTTACGTTTTTTTTGTTGTTTTGTTTTGTTTCTTGTGATTTTTGTTAAGAAGAAAATTATTTCTGAGGCAGCTAGCTGGTACCGGCACCTGAAGTCAGGAGGACCTGAGTTCAAATCCGGCCTCAGACACTTAATAGCTGTGTGAACTGGGCAAGTCACTTAACCCCGATTGCCTCATTAAAAAAAAAAAAAACATGTTTATCACGTCTTCCCTACTCACCAACTTCATCTGGAATCATAGTTTCCCCATGTTATTACATATAATTCCTTTTGAGTTGAAGCAATCAGAGCTCCAGGAATAGAATATGGTCACCTGTCCACAATCCTTAAGCAGATGGTCTGCATTCTCATGCTCCACAGGGGATACTTCAGGAAGCATGACCAAAGGTATCTCATCGAACCTCTAGAGCACTCTGATCAGGGAGAGCATGCCATCTTCAAATATGACCACAAGAACCAAGACACAAGCAATGGGAGCTGTGTGGTGGACAACTTTTCCAAGACAGACGCCATCACTCAGGCCTCCATGTCTGGCCTCAGTTTAGAAGTGAGTAGGCTTCTTAGCTTTTTATTTGTTTCTTTGTTTTGTTAATTCACAACACTTAGCACAGTGCCTGGCACATAGCAGACACTAAATTGTTGTTGTCAACTTTCATGGTGGAAAAAAAATTACATGTGTTTTACACCTCAATCCAGAGAAACAGGGTAAAATAGGATGGGGGGGAGACAGAGACAGAGAGAGATAGACAGACAGACACAGAGAGAGAGACAGACAGGCAGAGACAGACAGGGACAGAGACAGACAGACAGAAACACAGGGAGACAGAGAGATAAAGAGGGGTAAGACAGAAACAAGAGAGAGAAAAAGAAGAGAGAAACAGGGAAAGACAAAGTAATAGATGAAGAGAGAGAAAGGGATGGAAAAAGGAATAAGAGAGGAAAAGAGAGAGGAGAGAATGGGGAGTTAGATAAGAAAACAGATGAGTGAGAGCAACAGAGGAAAAAGTTAACGAGAAGAGAAAGTGAGAGCCAGAAGAATGAGGAGAGAGATAAAAAGAAAAATAGACAAGAGTGAGGGAGAGGGAGATAGACAGGAGAGAAAAAAGGATAGTAGGGGGAGAGGGGGAGAGAGAGAGAGAGAGAGAGAGAGAGAGAGAGAGAGAGAGAGAGA